TCTCCCCATTGCCTTCTTGCCTGCATGGTTTCTGTTGAGAGATCCAAGCTTAATCTGATTTGCTTGCCTTTGTATGTTATACTTCTCTTTTCCCTAGCTGCTTTCAGGATTCTGTCCTTATCCTTAATTTAGGAGAGCTTGATTACTGTATGTCTAGGTGATTGTCTTTTAGGGTCTATCCTTCCTGGGTTCGTATAGCTTCTTGAATGATTATCTTTTCGCCTTTCAGGATGTTAGGAAAATTTTCTTCCAAAAGCTCTTCAACTATCTCCTCCGTGGACTTGTGTGATTCTTCCTGTTCTGGGATGCCAATAATTCTTAAGTTATTCCTATTCATGTTATCTTAGGCCTTCTTCAGATTTTTTTTATCCATTTTTGTGTTTGCTCTTCTAGCATAGTAGTGTTGAAATATTTATATTCTAGCTCACTAGTTCTCGTTTCCAATTCTTCGATTCTACTCCTTTGTTCTTTTAGTGTATTGTCCGTTTCTGATATCCTACTATTAATCATTTGGACCTCTTTCTAAGGGTTTTGCATTGTTTCCAATGTTGTCCCTATCTTACTTGATTGTTCCTGTATCGCTTTCCTGACCTCTTCCTTATTTTTCTCAAGTCCATTGTATAGTTTTTGATACATTTTATAATAATTTTTCTGAATTCCTTCTCAGGAATTTCCAAAGCCTGCCCATCTTCCAGTATGGAGTGTAGATCTACTTCCAGCTAGTTTGCCTCAGTTACTTTATCTCGTTTCTGGACATGTGCATACATGGTCATCTGCTTCTGTTTTTTGGGCATATTCAGGAGTTATCTGTGGCCTTAATACTTAGATGGGTGTGTATTTTGGTATTTTTTCATTTTTTCTGATTGTCTCCAGGTAGATGTAATCAGGAGATAGGCTTCCTTTTCACTCTTCTTCCTTTATGTCCGCAGTTTTGTCAGGCGTCCATGGCTGCTCTAATCTGTCCCCCACTTGGTTTTGCCCAAGGTGGGAGCTCCAGGAGCAGCTGAGTGTCTTGAATTAGAAATCAATAGATTTCTTGCTTCTGCTACAAATTCCCCTAGCTATAAACCTTCCAACCTTCTAAATATTCCTTTATGTGTGGTTCAGAGTTCTGGGACCATCCCCTGAGCCTGCTTGGTCAAGTATTCTGTGTTGCTGATAGAGCTCTTCACTGCACTTCCATCCAACCCACCATCTTGTTTGTTCTCTACCTAATTATTTATTATAGTATAACTATTATTTAGAAAGTATAATTACCTTGAACTACTTAATTAGTCAGTTTGAGAACTAAGGTCCACCTGACCTGTCATGGTATTTTCAATAACCTGATCTGAATGTATAAGTTGGAGAGTGAATAAGGAAGACCGTAGAAGAACTGATGCATTTGTGCTATGGTGTTGTAGGAAAATATTGAAAGTACCATGGACTGCCAAAAGAATAAACAGATCTGTGTTGGAAGAAGTACAGCCAGGGCACTCCTTAGAAGCCAGATGGTCAGACTTCGTCTCTCATACTTGGGACATAATGTCAGGATGGACAAGTCACTGGAGAAGGATATCATGTTTGGTAAATTGGAGGATTGGAGAAAAAGAGGAAGACCCCCAATGTGATGGACTGGCACAGTGACAGCAGCAATGGGTCCAGGTGTAGCAACAATTGTGATGCTGGCCAAGGACGGGGCAGTGTTTCATTCTGTTGTGCATAGGGTTGCTGAGTCAGTGCCGAATTAATGGCACCTTACAACAACAACAACAATTTACTAAGAAAGTATAATTACCATTATTTGATAATGTAAATTACTAATTGCCAGAATCTAATAAATGGATAAAATATTGAGGTACAAAAGGATTTCATTTTACTTGGGTCCAAAATCAACACCTATGGAAGCAGCAGTCAGGAAATCAAACAACGTGTTGTACTGGGAAAATCATCAACAAAAGATCTCTTTAAAATGTTAAAAAGTAAAGATGTCACTCTGAAGACTAAGGTATACCTTACCCAAGCATAGTATATCATATTGCCTCATATACAAGTGCAAGCTAGACAAAGAATATGAAATTAAGTCTTTGAATTTTGCTGTTGGCAAAGAATATTAAATATACCATGAACCTCCACAAAAGCGGGGAAATCTGTCTTGGAAGCAGTACAGCCAGAACGCTCCTTAGAAGCAATGATGGCAAAATTTTGTCTCATATAATTTGTGTATGTCATCCGGAGTCCCTGGAGAAGAACACTATACTTGGTAAAGTAGAGGGACAACATAAGTGAGGAAAGCCCTAAATGAGATAGATTGACAAAAGTAACTACAAAAATGGGTTCAAACATAGGAACAAATGTGAAGATGGTAATGGACCAGGCAGTGTTTCATTCTGTTGTACAAAGAATGGCTATGAGTCAGAATCAACTTTTTGGAACCTAAAAACACTATACTATCAAAGTTATAAGCATTACAACTGGTACCATTTCTATGACTTGAACCCAAAAGAACTCCAAGTACCTAAATAGAATATAACTATGGAAGGTGGAAAACAAAAAAGATAAGGAGACTAATCTAGGTAAATGACACAAATGTAATATAATCTCTATTTCTTCTATGAAGACATGATTCACATGTATAGCCTGTTAATCAAAAGGAACCAAAAAGGTACATTTTCCCCCACCAAACAAAAAAGCTCATATTTATAAATTGACATTAAATGCTTCACTCAGCCAGATCACCTACGGGGATTACTCCCTACTCTCATATGAAAAGATCGCATGCACTATGAACTACGGGGAAATTAAAAAAACACACAAAAAAACAGGCCCTAAGTACCTCATAATAAAAAAAGATATACAAAATTGTTGTTGTTACATACTATTGAGTTGGTTCCGACCCATAGCGACCCTGTATAGGGTTTCCGAGGAGCAGCTGGTGAGCTTGAACCACAAACCTTACAGTTCAAATGGCTTTGCAGTCTGGCACATTAACCCACAGCGCCACACAAGAACAAAGTAGATATGATATCAAAACATTAATGAAGGTACATAAATAAATCAATTATCCAGAAGTCCATAAAATTATAATAATACAAAATTATTTAAGAATTAAAACAAAACTGAATTATTCCAAACAAACCTGAGGTGGGTTCTGATTTGGTCTTTGTTTGAGAGCTGAGTTCTGTTGGCAAAGACACTGACTGTTTCAGTACTTCAGTTGTCTTAGTAAGTATTTCTATTTCAGCATGACTTCCTACCTGTTTACAAGAAAGATTTTTTTCTTAATAAGCAAATAATTTTAATTAAACCATAAAATAGTCTAAAAAATTGATAGTGTACAATATGATCCCTTCATCTACTTTCATTCTGTCCTTGACCTCTGTGCAGTACCCTCATTCCAAGGCAACATCCATCCAAATAAAACACATTGTCTACCTTCTTGGTCCATTGAAACTCTACCTTAGTTTTTCTGTTAGGTTCAGGGAGTGATTCTTTTTTGTTGCTTTTTGTCAATGATGATTTAACTGCTTCATAAATCTGCTGGCTTGCATCATATGTCTTTTTCCCAGTTACCTAATTAAAATAAAACAAATAAAATAACGTATTTTTAAAAGTTACAATGACAAATATTTTTAAAGTTATGTCAGGTCAGTTATAAAGATGTAATTATCTTGATCATAATATAAAGCACCATTTTCTACATCTTAACTGAAAAATCATTTGAACTCACATAAGATTTTAAAAATGTATACTTTGTATCCATATTGTAACATGTGGATTTAAAATTTTGTGTTCAAGTAATATGAGTCTTAAAATGATAGCTGGAAATAATATACAGCTTATTGAGAAACTGAGATTTTTAAGATGTTTATTGTTGTTGTTAAGTGCTGCCAAGTTGATTCCAACTCATAGCAACCGGTATAGGGTTTCCAAGGAGTGACTGGTGTGCATGAACGACTGACCTTGCGGTTCAAACTGACCTTGTGTTCTAGTTCTTACATTTTGGCTTAAATTTTTACAGTAGTTTCTTTTTCCTCACAAAGAAGGAAAAAGTATGAATGAATTTCTCCAGAGAATTGTATTCATTTTAGTAGGGAAAAAGAACTACTACTAAGATACTGGGATGATGATCAAATGGCTAAAAATTAGTATTATTTTCATCTATAGATCTTTCTTACAGAGTCACTATGGGTCGGAATCGACTTGACAGAACTTAACAACAAAAACAACAACAACAGATCTTTCCATATGAAAATCTTATAGTTCCTACTAATTTATTACTCAGCCTTTTGTTCTTTATGACGAAAATGCTTTCAATAGTTATTACTTTTACAAGTGTTAAAGTAGTTTTGGTGAGCTTTCCCAAGTAAAGCTTTCTATAAACATAAATTTAAAAATATTACTTTACCTCAAATAGAAATATTTTTATTGTTTTTGCAAAGTAGATACCTACACTAAAAAACAACAAATTAAGCAGTTGTTGTTAAGTACCGTGGAATCATAGCGACCCTGCACAGGGTTTCCGAGGCTATAAATCTTTATGGGAGCAGAGAGCTTCATCTTTCTCCCATGGAACGGCTGGCAGTTTTGAACTGCTGACCTTGAGGTTAGCAGCCCGATTCATAACCACTATGCTACCAGAGCTCTTTAAATTAAGCATTACACTACTATAAAAAAGCAATACATTAGTAGAGTATAAATCACAATATACTATATAACTGAATATAATAATTGATAACAGGTATTCATTCAGAATTTTTAATTACATTTATAGATTATCGATTATATAAAGGTGAGTCAAAAAGTATTGCTACAAAATCACAGAAACCTTTATTAAGCAAAATTACCAAAATGTGAAATTATTGTGTCTCAACATGTCCTTCATCTAGATCTATACACATCTGAATGCAGTATTTTCATCTCTCTAAAGGAGCTCTGGTAGCATAGTGGTTACAACTCGGGCTGCTAACCTCAAGGTCGGCAGTTCAAAACTACCAGTCGTTCCGCGGTAGAAAGATGAGGCTTTCTGCTCCCGTAAAGATTTACAGCCTTGGAAACCCTGTGCAGGGTCGCTATGAGTTGGAACTGACTCCACGGTACTTAACAACAACAACCCTTTCCCATGTGGCACTGTAGGATAAGCACTGGACTGTTACCTGCAAAGTCGGTGATTCAAATCAACTAGCCACTCCTTGGAAACCCTATGCAGGGCTGCTATGAGTCAGAACAGACTCAATGGCACTTAACAATAAAAACAATAACCCTTCCTGATAAAATTCTGCACTTTGATTTACATCACATCAAAACGGCAGTTTTGGCATCCTCAAGGGACTCAAATCATGTTCTTTTTCAATGTTCTTTGAGTTTGGGAAATGAAAAAGAAGTCAGAGGGAGCAAAATCAGTTCTGTAAAGTAGATGGAGTAAGGTTTCTGAACAAAATTTTCATAGGACAGCCCAGCTGCCCTTAAAGAAAGAGCAGGTTCAATGTGACACACAAAAAAAATTCCTCAAGGCTTTCCTGACTTTTTTTCACCAATCCACTTTTCAATTTTCTTTAAACTTCTGAATAAGCCCTAGTGGTAACCCTGTGTTATTTAAGAAAATCTACCAAGATTAAGGTATTTTCAATAACCTCATATGCATGCAAAAGTTGTGCAGTGAACAATGAAGACCATAGAAGAATTGATGCATTTGAGTTATGGTGTTGGATGAGAATATTAAAAGTACCAAAGACTGCCAAAAGAACAAACAGATCTGTGCTAGAAGAAGTACATCCAGAGTGTTCCTTGAAAACCAGCATGGCCAAACTTCATCTCTCATACTTCAGATATATTATCAGAAGAGACCAGTCACTGGAGAAGGATATCATGTTTGGGAAAGTGGAGTGTCAGAGAAAAAGAGGAAGACCCCCAACGAGATGGACTGGCACAGTGGAGGCAGCAAAGGATTCAGGCCTAGAAACGATTATGAGGTTGGCCCAGGATTGGGCAATGTTTCATGCTGTTGTGCATAAGGTAGCTATGAATCAGTACCGACTCAATGGTACCTAACTACTACTATCAAGATTATCTCTTTGGAATTACAAATCACAGTGACCATAACCTTCCGAGCTGACTTCTCTGCTTTGAATTTAATGTGTCCAATCAAATCTCCTTATAGGGTCTAGCTTTATGTTGATCCTTCAAAAAGAAATTATTCTTGCAGGGTCCTACACAGTATCTTTGAAGTGGCTGCTGTGAATTTGACCCCATATAGATTGCTCCTAAAAGAGCATATAACCAACACTGGGCAATGGAAAAGGAGAATCAAAGTAGAATGAACACATTTGAATTATGGTGTTACAGTGGGTTAAGTGGCATGCTGAAAACCGAAAGATCAGTAATTTGAACCCATCATGCATTCTGTAGGAGAAAGATGTGGCAGTGGGCTTCTGAAAGGATTAACAGTCTTGGAAATCCTATGGACAGCTGTACTCTGTCTTATCGGGTCATTATGAGCCAGAATAGCAGTGGGGTTTTGGTTTAGATTTGTTGTCATATGACAGTTACAAAAAAAAAAAAGCAAGAGGCTCAACTTTTAGAATTTGAGTAACAATATCTTAACCATAGAATAGATTTTTTTTCTTAAATGTTTTATTGTGAATTATGGGATAGTTTACATGGGAGAACATTAGTTTTACATTCATTCTATCGTATATCGTCTCATTGTCATGGTTACAATCCCCTCCATACAATCCTTCCCCCGTGCCCCCCAGGTCTTCAGCACACAGTCGCTCTCCCTCTCTGGATCTAAAGTCTCCAACTGCTCCATC